GGAGGGCAGCACGCGGGTCGGGGCAGGGGAGCTTACCAACGATGTAGATGGCTAGGGACTGGCCGTCCTGGCGCTGACCCTTCAGCCGGCGATGGTGGTCGGCAAACCACGCCTCGAAGTCGACCGCACGACCCTCCGCGTCCCGGTGGAGCACATCGTCTGCCATCACCACAGACGCAGCGGCTGATGGCGGCACGGTGACACGGCGGCGCCGCGGCACAACTGCACGACGACACTGTGGCACTGTGACATGGTGACCAAGTGGCACGGCGACACGGCGGCCCAGCGGCACAGCAGCACGGCGACACAGCGAGCTGGGGCGGCAGGAGCAAGGGCCGGCTGGGCCGGGGTTGGCTCGAACGGGGGTCGACTCTAACGGGGGCCAACTCGAACTGGGGGCCGATGCGAACTAGGGTCGGCGAACTAGGGCCAGCGAGCTAGGGTCAGCGAGCTAGAGCCAGCGAGCAGGCGAGGGGCAATGAGCGAGCTACAAAGTCAGCGATGGCAGCAACAAGAGCCGAGAGTTTGGAGACCGGAATGTACGGGTTGGTAACAAGAGAGGCAAGGACACAATGAACTAGAGGGCGAGCTGCACGGAAGAAGTCAGAGAGAAGAGGCGAAGAGAAATAGAGGGACGTTTGAGGAGGCAACAGGAGAACAGAAGGGGGAGGAGCTCGAGACTCGTGAGAACGGAGGAACATAAGGTCAGAACACTGAACAGAAGAGATAGGGCGAGCACAAGAGGGACGGTGAGACCAGAAGTGGAAGGGAGGTGTCGGGTCTGAAGACAACGGAGGAGACACAGGAGGAGAACGAGGGGGGAAAAGAGCCGGAGACGGGTCCTGCGGAGGGAACACAGAGCCGTAGACCGAAGGAGGAGGCGGCATTTGGGGAGGCGCGGGTGCTTGGTCAAGGGAGGGAAGACCGAGGAGGCGAAGGGCAGATACTGGCGGCGACTACTGCTACTTTTGCTGCTCCACGCCCATACCAAAACCTCCAACCGCACCACTGCTACCTCCAAGACTCGTTACGACAGCACCCCCAGGACTAGCACCCCTTGCACCAGCACCTTCCTCAAAGGCAGCACCCCCCCATCGCCCACTGACCCCGACTGCTGCGGCGGCGGCTACTGCTGCGGTGACTACTGCTACTGCTTCGGCGCCGGAGGAGACACCAAGGCTGAGGGCGCAGGCGCCGAAGACATAGGCGCCAGACACTGAGCCTAAGGGCACCTGGAGTCTGTAGACTGCTCTGCCGGGCCAACCAACGTAAGGGGAGTGACGTGAAACACACCAGATGGGGCAAGATGGGGAGCGAAAGCTACCGGGGGAGTGGGGACAAGGAACAGGGGAGAGGTAACTGGGAGACCTCGGTAGGGAAAGCAAGTGTAGAAGGAGACAGACTGATCAAAGATGACATCACGCGACAGAAAGAGCCGGTGAGATGGGGGTGGTAGAAGTGCGAGTCATACGCGTCCAGGGGGAAGCCAAGAAAGACACAAGGGATGCTGCGGGTAGTGAGCTTGTCCGCGCGATAGTCCTGGAAGTGAGCGAGGCAACCCCAGACGTGAAGCGCAGATGCGTCACCAGGGGACCCGGTACAGAGAAGGGTCGGAGAAACCGGTGGCTGCTGGGAGTGCGGCCAGAAGTTAAGTTGGTGAGCGATGTAGCGCAATGCGAACGGCCACAAAAATGGGGTGCACCGGCATGGATCATGGAGGTACGAGCCACCTCCATAACCAAACCGATGCGTCGCTCAACGACCCCATTCTGCTGCAGGGAGTCCGGCAGGAAATCAAGAGTAGCGCCAAGGAGGGGAGGAAGTACAGTGAGCTCAGCCTCATTGCTAGCAGCGTGGTAGCCAGTCTCAAGTGCGCAAAGGTGAATGGCAAGATTAGCGACAGTGGGCCAGGACGTGAGATTAGGAAAGAGCAGGGGAAGGAGGAGGCAACCAGCAGAGGTGAAGGAGGGACTGGAATAGTGAGAAATGACGGCGTCTATGTATTCCTTGGCCGTCTTTAGGGCCTGGAAGCGGGGACGCTTGGACAGGGGGAGAGCGTAACTGATAGCTAGCTGCACAGTGGCATCACACGACTCCCAGACAGAGCGAGCGAGCTCAGCAGCTGTGAAAGCCTCACGCTCAGCAGTCGTTGGGGCATCAAGCAGGGCAATAGGCGTGGGGGAGCATGGCAACTTACGATCGACATGGACGGCTACGGACTGGCCATCTTGGCGCTGACCCTTCAGTTGGCGGTGCAAGACGGCGAGCCATGCCTCGAAATCCACATCACGAGCCTCTGCATCTAGGCGGGGAAAAGCGTCCGCCATCATGCACAACTGCAGCGACTGGAGTGCTCAGGCTGAGGAGGAGCTGAGAGTAGGCGAATATGGTGGAGGGTGGCGGAGAGCGGTGGAGAGCGGTGGAGTACGGTGGAGTGCAGTAGAGTGCGGTGAAGCCGCAAGAGAGGAGACAGTCGGCGGGGGCGCCGAAGCAAAGGAGAGACCAGGGCCGACGATGTGTAACGGCCGGCGAGACGAACTGGGGCGGCGCGGGCGGCACGACAAGCTGGGGCCGGGGGCCACGCGACGAGCTGGGGGTGGTGTAGAGCTGGGGCCGGTGTCGAGCTGGGGTCGGCGGCAAGCTAGGGCTGGCGGCGAGCTAGGGTCCACCCGGCGAGCTGGGGGGCGCACAATGAGCTGAGGCCAGCGACAATCCGGGGCCGGCGGCGAGCTGGGGCCAGCGGCAAGCTTGGGGCCGCGCGACGAGCTGGGGGCCGCTCGGCGAGCTCGGGCCGGTGGCAAGCTATGGCCGGCGGCGAGCTCGGGCCCACGCGGCGAGCTGGGGCCGGCGGCGAGTCAGGGGCCGCGCAGCGAACTGGGGCCGGCAGTGAGCTTGGGCCTGCGAGCTGGGGCCGGCGACGAACAAGGGCCGGCGGCGAGCCAGGGCCGCACGGCGAGTTGGGGCCTGCGGCGAGCTGGGGGCCGCACGGCAAGCTATGGCAGGCGGCGAGCTGGGGCCGGCGGTGAGCTAGAGGCGGCGCGTCAAGCCGGACGGACAGCGAACAGGGGCCTGCGGCAAGCTTGGGCCATCGCGGCGAGCTAGGGCAGCGCGGCGAGACGGGGCTGACGCGGTGAGCTGGGCCAGGGCGGCAGGCTAGAGGCCAGCGCGACGCAATGAGCTGGGGGCCGTCGGGGCGCAGCGCGGCAGGCTAAGGGCCAGCGCGGCGGGCTAGGGCCAGCGCGGCGAGCCAAGGCCAGCATGGCACGGCGGGCTAGGGCAGGCGCAGCGAGCTAGGGTGGGGGAGCTCTACGGTAGGCTAGGGCGAGACGCTCTACAGTAGGCTAGGGTGGAAGCGCGGGTGGGTGGGACCTACCTAACATGATATCATATCAGAGTAACAAAGTAAACTCAAGCAAGGATACAAGAGAGCTATATGGTTAGGTGTTGTACTCTCTAAGAGTACGAACCCATCTAGTATATAATTGGTACATATAAAACATATGTATAAGTTGACGCTCTGAACATGCGCTCTATCTAAATATCAAGGCCACTTCACTAAACGTTACCCGAAACTCCCGTCACCTATATATTAGGGTGGATTCATACGAAGTTGGATCCAGCGAAGTGAGATCCAACATGCATGGTAGAGTGCAGTTCAATTGTCGAAAATATGCAATCAATGCGGTTCGGTTCGGTAGTGCGCGAAGCTAGATCCAACTTCGCTAGATCCCACTTTGTAGGAGTCTGCCCTTATTCGCAAGTATTTGTTCGCACACATTATTGTTTACATTTTCCGCTACTTCATCTCTGTTACTCAGGCCGTTCGACAACACCTCGAGCCCAGATGCTAACATTCTCCAAAAATCCTTTAGAAGTATATGTTGCAAGAGTAAGTACGTTATCGAATGCTTGATGCTTAGTTTCTTGTTTATGTCATAGTGTTTTTATTCGGAGAAGGGGGCACTTAGGATTTTCTCCTTGGAAATGGAAGTGATTGAATATTGCATTCAAGTACAAGAACAATATGGAAGAAATTGAATATTGCTATCTAAATGGCAATGCTTGTATCCATGTGAGTACGGTAGATTTAGCAGACTAGTGATATATTAACACAATAAAACAAGAACAAGATTTCAATGATAGAAGTAATACTGACTGAGAAGTGTGATACAAATCTAGTGCATTTGGTGTTGCATTTTAGTTATATCTAGTTCTTCTTGAAATCATAGCGTCAATACTACTTCAATAACGCGAATATAGTTTTGACGAGAGAGATGTGCTTGAAATTGGAGCGAGTATCCCCCAATGCACCTTTCAGCAGTCCTTAGTTGGTGGTTGGTTGGCATCTCTATCCTCAGACAGGGAGCACCATGGATGACCGCAACGGGATCTCCGGGAAGCTGATTCACCATCCGCCTCTCTGTTGGGCCGAATCTTCCCTCGGAAATCCGGATAATGCTCGACATCCACTAGGAGTCCCGCGTCCACTCATGTGGATGCCAGCTCTTTTCCACAAACTTGGCATCCTGCTCTTTCGTGGGCAAGAGTCAACCCATGAAGGATAACTACTCGTCGGTGGGCCTGCAAGCACGACCACAGTTCTCTGGGCTCGGGCAGACCACAGAAACCCCTACAGGTGACATTCAATTGAATGTTCCTTTGACGAGAGGCCAGGTGGAAGTTGAGTGGTGGGTGGGTGAATTTGTGCGTGCATTTGGATATGTGGGTATAGGCGGTGTTATGTGTGCACTGTGCAATTCCACCATGCAATGCAACTGGGCGGATCCAAGGCCATTTGATTGGACTGGGGAGTTCGGGAAAACAGTAAATTCCCGTTGCAGAGTGCAGGGGGGAGACGGGAGGAGGGAGGAGGGAGGAGGGAGGTGGAAGCGACAGGCGAAACCCTAACGTCAGTTCAGGGAGGCAGCCAGCCAGCGGGGCAGGCAATCGGAGGGTCTTGCTTCCTAAGCTACTTCCTACATGAAGTATCTTCCTCTTCCACAGGGCTGACTTGGCAGGAAATGCTAATGGCCAGGATGAAGGTTAGCATAGCCACTTTCAGCCTTACAGGTTAGCAGTCTAGATGTCGATATTTCACGACTGAGAAGCTAAAACAGAGACGCGTGTGGTTGTTGCCAACGCGGCTGACGGCCGTGTTCGTTCGCAGTCGTCGTCCCGTCCAGACTGGATGGAACCGTTTTCGTCTGCGCTGGCGCAACGCTCGTACGTCTCGTAGCAGCAACCAGAGAGAGATAGTAGCTAAGGTCCTGTCGCATCAACATGGAGACTTGCTTCTCCCCGCAACTTCGTCCTAGCAGTATGTATCGCCATACCGCTTTGCACCACGCGTCATGTGGGAAGCTTTCGCTTCCCCGTGGCCACGTAGGCAGGCCTTTAGTACCACCACACATCCCACTCACCCATTCGTTCCAGCCTCGCTCACGGGTAGCCCTCCATGTCTCCGCCGCCGCTGCCGCCAGCACCCCGGATCCCGCGGGCTCTACGCCGCTGAACGCGGGGGCTCGCATCGCGCCTCGCCGGGGAGGCGAAGCCGGTTCGGCCTGTCAGAACCTAATTCGGCAGCAGCACAAGCGAGCTCTGCGCAGCGAGGCGCATGCCGTGGCTGCGCCTGACCAGTATGGCGTGGCGGATTCGCTGGGCGACGATTGCTCGTCGTGCTCGGCGATTCGCTTCGACGAGGACGCAGACGGCGACGTGCTCCAATGCTTCCCGGATTTCGTCCTCGACCCGTCGGAGAGCGACGGGTCAGCCCGGCTGTTCCGGAAGAGCTTCTCCCTGCACGATGCTCCTTCCACGAACCGTTATTTCTCCGGAGACGCAGATAGCACCGAAGGGTACGCCTCGATGCCCGAGTCGTCGTCGCCGTCGTCGGCGGCCGCGACGCGCTTCTCGTCGCTGTCGTCCTCCGAGGCCGCAAGGCCCTCCTATTCGTCGATGTCCCCACGGGACGCCATGCCGCTGCACCCGTCGCCAGCATCACCGGTGACCGACACCAGCCTCGTGCAGCCCCCCTCCTCCTCCTCCGCCTCGTCCTCCCCGTATGCCCCAGCGCAGCCGCAGGCGCATCCGCCTGCGCGCGTGGACGAGCTGAAGCAGGGCGCCATCCGCGCGATTATCCGCGCGGAGGAGAACTACCGCCAGGCGTTCCACGCGCTGCAGGAGGCGCAGGCGCGCCTGGAGAGCACGCGCCTGATGGCCGCGGAGATTAACACCATGCCATCGCTGCCGCCGTCGCCGCGCTCGTCGCCCAGCCACTCGCCGCCCGCGTCGCCGATGCGGTCGCCGATGCGGTCGCCGTCGCTGTCGCGGTCGCCGAGTGCGACGCTGCTTGAGACAGTCGATGCGACGCTGCTAGACGTTGATGCGCGCGTGCACGTGCACGCGCACGCGAATGGGCCTGGCGCAGACAGCGCGGGGTTTGAGGCCGGTCTGGTGATTTCCGCGGAGCGAGCGGCGGAGGGAGCGGCGGAGCCGGAGGAGGTGGTGGCCATGATGGACTCGTTGGCGGCGCAGCGGGAGCGGTCGCGCGAGTCGCTGCGGCTGGCAGAGCAGGTGCTGCGCGACCGGCTCGGTGAAGCGCACGTGCAGGTCCGCTGCTTCCCCTTGCCCTGCTTCCGCCCTTGCCCCATCCAACCTTGCCCCACTTGCCCTGTTTCCCCTTCCCCATCTTCCCCCTCCCTTGCTGTCAGCCCCCCCCCCCCCCCCCCTCTTCTTTCCCTGCTGCGCATCTTACGTGTTCCTCCCCTGCCGTCTTGCCTCTCAACGCTGCTCACTCATCTGCGCCCCCCCTCCTCTTTCCCAACCTCCCCCTTCCTTCCCCCCAATTCCCTCCCCTCGCCATCCCCTTTCTTTTCCCGCCCTGCCTATCTGCAGAGCCAGGTGATCGACCACCACATAGAGATGATGGACTGCGGCGGCCAGTACCACGTCGCGCACTGGCTCGTCGACAAGGTGCAGGAAATCGCCTCCGCCTCCTCGCCGGCCGCCTGGACTACCGCCAACGCCGCGCGAAACGGCCCCACCGGCGCACCAGTCGGCGCCGGCGCCGGGGACGGCAACGCAGAAGGGGCGGCGCCGCCGCTCCTCGCCGTGCCGGTGAACCTGGACCTGGCGGCGCAGGGGTACGACGACCACGCGGTGCGGTTCCTGCAGCACCTGCCGTACGGTCGGGTGCTCAAGATCCGCACGATCGCGTCCGACCCTCCCCACGCGCTGCTGCCGCCGCCAGACGCGCTCGACGCGGTCAACAGCGGCCCTTTGAGCTCTGCAGCTGGGAGCGCTGCCACGAGGGGCTCTGCAGGTCTGGCTTCTGACCCGCTCATAGACCCCTCCATGCCTGAGGGATTCGTGCGTGCTAGCGGGGAGACGGTCGCTGGGGCAGGGGGTTCGTCCTTCACGTCTGCGTCTGCTTCTGCGTTGTCAGCAGCGAGCGAGCAGCAGGACGAGCAACTGGGAGCAACGGAAGCCATGCCTGTGCAAGCAACACGAGCGGGACCGTCGCTGAGTGCGAGGCAAGCCGGTCAGCGGCTGCCGTCTATGCCGCCGTGGGCCAATCTCCTCCCAGGAACTGTTGGCTGGTCCCCGCTCGGACTCCTCCCCGCCCCTCCTTCCTCCCCCGCCGCTGTTGACGCGCGCAAACCCCGCGAGGCCAGGAGCAGGCGGGCGCGGGTCTCCAAGCGCACTGCGCCTGCTGCGCCGCCCGCGGATGCGGCGGACGGCGGAGAGGCCTCCGCGGAGCCCGTGTGGCTGTCCCCGGCTAGCTTCGAGCTGGCGGAAGCAGCGGCTGCGGCGCTGAGCCAGGCAGGCGCGGGGCTGGCGGAGGGGGCAGACGCGGAGGAGCAGTGGAAGCGGTGGAGGGAGTGGAAGCAGTGGGACCCGCTGGACCTGGCGTCATCAACGTCGTCGGCGTTCGTGAAGGAGTTCGGCGACGACGACGACGACGCGTACGACGCGCGGCTGGTGAACATGGCGATGGCGGCGGCGGCGGACCGGGGGCAGGAGGAGAGGGAGCGGCAGGCGTGGATGCGCATGGAGCTGCTGCTCGTGGGCTGCGCCGCGCTCTACATGGCGTGGCACTGCGACGCCGTCTCCCTCGCGAAAGACGTCTACGTGCTCGCGCTCGGGTCCGGGTTCGCGTTCCTGGCGGCGCAGTTCGTGGGTCTGCTGCCGCAGCGGTACCGGCAGCAGCTGGGGGTGGCGGGGCTGGAGGGGGGGCTTGAGGGGATGCAGGGGATCCGGTGCCCGCTGCTGGTGCACATGGCTGCCACGAGTGCGGGGCTGGGCGCGTCTGCTGACACGCTGCTTGCTGCTGGCAGTGCGGCGGCGTCATCTGCGGGGGGGGGGCCTGCGGGGGAGGTGTGGAGGGAGGCAGGGGAAGGGTTGTTGCAGGAGGAGGGTCAGCAGCAGCAGCTGGATGCCAAGCGCCATCGAACGTGGGAAGCGGTGAGCCTTATTTTCTTGCCCTGCCATTTTTCCTTGCCCTGTGTGCCTTGTGTTTCCCTCCCTGTGTGCTCAGAGTTCCCAGAGTGCCGGTAGTGCCGGGAGTTCCTTGCATGCCCTGTATGTATTCCCTGCTCTGTACAGCCTTCCCTGTAGTCTCCTCCTCACACGCCTCACACGGACCAACTCAGCTCATTCCGGCTTTTCATGGCTGTGCCGTTCTCCCTCCACCCCAAACCCTGCAGGCCATAGAGGTCATCGGGCTGGTGTCGGCCCTGCTCGCGCTCTCAACCGTGCTGGCGCTCCTCATAAAGTCCTCCCACCTCCTGCTCTCCTTCCTCACCTCGTCCCTCTCGCACGGCGTGGCACGCGGCGTGCAAGTGCTGCTCACATGGCTCTCTGCCTCGCACCTCTCTGCGCTCACAGCATGGTCGGCTGCGGGCTGGATGTCTGCTGCTACGACTGCAGCGCTTCCTTCCAGCATCATTGGTACCGATCTCACGCTGCGAGGGGCGTTTCTGCCCCTGTCGCTCTCACTGACCTCGGCGGTTGCTCTTACTCTGCTGCTGCTATTCCGCCCGCCTAATGGCGGGTCCTCCTCGCAACGTGCTTGAGAGCATGCCCCCTCGCTGCTGCTGCCACGTCTCTGGTGCCTGCTGCTGGCAAACCTCTTACTGCTGCTGCTGCACTCCTTGCTGCTGCTGCTGCTGCCGCTGCTGTTGCGTCGTGTGTTTTTGCCAGCGTGTTCATGTAATTTATGCATGACCATGCCTCCCTGACTGCATGATGGAAGCACGATTGTGATTGTATACGTCTGCCTGCATGCATATGGTAAGTGCTCTGCAGGGTAACCCAATACAAAGGCCTGCCCCGAATTGGGGAAGGCTTTGTACCTTCATATTGGGAAGGGAACAACGTGTGCTGTGTGTGCATTTCTTTGCTTTGGCTATGTGTGTGTATTCTAGCCATGCTTCATGCCACTGTTTGCCCCGAAACTGGTTAGCATCTTCATACTGATATGTACAACCAGTACTGCCTATTCTTATCCATTGAAGTTGCTTCTTTTGTGGTACCGCATGTTAGAATGAGAACTGAATGATTGAGTAGAGAGAGTACAGGTGAATATACCTAAGTGTTGTACCCTCTAAGAGATGGCCCTATACAGTCTATGCAAATACAGGAGTTACACATGCATAGGGGCAGGTCCTGAACAAGCAGCTCAGGGCGGCACTACTAGTCTAGCCTCTGAGACAAGGGTCTAAAAGACCAGTCAGAAGGAGTACAGACAAGGCAAGACCAAGACCAGGGCGGCACTACTAGTCCAACCACTGGGAGAGGACACAAGTCTAGTCTGAGTACACATATAAAGGACAGTACAAAGTCAAGGCCCTATGCCCTCACTGAGGCCAGTGCGTCCCTGTCTGCTGTGGCAAAGACCAAGTCGTCAACGTAAACAAGGATGTAGAACGGAGTCTGGCCAGCACGAACGAAGAGTGAGGGGTCTGCAGAAGACGGAAAGAACTGCAGGCCAGCAAGGGTAGCACGCAGCGTGTTGTGCCACTCACGGGGAGCCTGGCGCAGGCCGTAGACGGGACGCCGCAGGAGCCACTGGGTCCTAGGAGGGAAGGTTCCAGTAAAGCCATGAGGGCGACGCAAGTAGACCTGCTCGTGTAGGCTGCCCTGAAGGAAGGCAGTGGAGAAGTCGAGGGAGTGAAGCTCGTAGTCATGCTGAGCAGCTAGGTGTAACAGAACCTGAAGAGTATTCATCTTCGGGGTCGGAGCGAAGGTCTGAAAGAAGTCCACCCCCTCACGCTGACTGAAGCCTCTAGCCACGTAGCGCGCCTTGAATACAGGCGGCTCTCCAGGAGGGCGCTTCACCTTGAAGAGCCAGCGGCCATCGACTACGTTCACCCCAGGCGAGGGAACTGCGTCGACGAAGGTGCCGGTGGACCTCCAAGATGCCATCTCCTGCTCCATGGCAGCTATCCATTGCGAGGCCCAAGGTCCCGAGGTCGCCTCAGCGTAAGTGCGAGGGGTTGGGATGTCGAAAGCATCTGGGTCACCCTCAGGGACTAGCAGCATGGAACAGAGATGGGGAGCAGCCTCGGAAAGGAAAGCAAGCTCGAACTGGCGGTCCTCCAGGACGTCACTGCTAAGGGCAGGAGCACCCCCGACAGACGGAGGACAGGCAGGGTCAGAGACCAGAGCGGTGGCGTAGTCAAGGCGGCGGGTAGAGGCGAAGTCAGCGACCGCAGCTACAAGAGCGTCAAGACATGAGACCGGAACAGACGGGACAGTAACGAGAGAGGCGAGGACACGAGGAACAAGAGGACAAGCGGCACAAAGGTAGTCAGACAGAGGAGGAGGGGCAACGGTAAGAGAGGACGGAGGAGGCGACGGTAGAAGGGGAGAACGAGGCGCGTGAGAACGGAGCAACATAGGATGAGAGCGCGGGACAGGGGAGACAGGACGAGCGCGGGAGGGACGGCGGGACCAGACGTGGGACGGAGGTGTCGGGTCAGGAGACAGAGGAGGGGACACAGGGGGGGAACGAGGGGGAAAACAAGCCGGGGACGAGTCCGGCGGAGGGAACACAGGGCCGTAGATGGGAAGAGGAGGAGACGGCCGGGGAGGAACAGACGCAGGGTCAGGGGACGGCAGGCCGAGCAGGCGAAGGGCTGACACCGGCGGGGACTGCTGCAGCGCCGGCACAACGCCGACACCGGGACCGCAAGCTGCTCCTCGGCTACCACCGGCACACTCCACGCCAGCAGCCCAGAGGGAACACCTCCAGGGCCCGAAACCCCTCGAGGACCGGTACCACCCCCAGGGCTACCGGGACAAGCACGCACTCCAACGCAAGCACCCCCAGAGTCAACGAACGGGTGCTGCGACGGCGGCGGCGGCGGCAGCGACAACGACGGCTGCGGTGGCGGCGGCGGAGGTGACAACGGCTGCGACAGCAGGGGCGACAGCGGCGGCAGAGGCGGTGGAGGAGGGGACGCCTGGGGAGGGGCGGCCGGCGAGGACTGCGCCGCAGGACCACCAGAGTCAGAAGACTCCTCAACCGGGACCACCGATGGAAGAGGGGTGACGTGGGACACACCAGAGGGGGCAGGACGGGGAGGAGGAGGGGGAGGGGCAGGAACTATCGGGGAAGGAGTGACCAGGAACGGGGGGGGGGTAACCGGGGGACCGCGGTGGGGGAAGCGACGGTAGTAGGAGACGGACTCGTCAAAGGTGACGTCGTGAGAGTGAAAGAAGCGGTGAGACGGCGGGTGGTAAAAGTGCCAGTCGGACGCGTCAAGGGGAAAACCGAGGAAGACGTAGGGAAGAGTGCGGGCAGTGAGCTTGGCGGGTCTCAATAACAGTCAGGGTGTCTACAAAGTCGGTGAGGGTGAGCTCACCGGGGTGAATGCTAAGGAAGCGGTCGCAGGCGGCGGCAAGGCGGTCAGGGAGGCTGGTGGCAAGCAGGTAGAGGGTAGAGGTGATAGGCGGCTGGTGGGCTCTAAGCTGTGTGTCAGTGCAGGCAGCGCGCCAGGTCTCATCTATCGAGCGCAGGTGGGCAGCTAGGTCAGAGACAGTGGGGAAAGACGCAAGGTCGGGAAAGAGCATCGGGAGGATCAGGCGACCCACCGAGGCAGCAGGAGGGGTGGAATAGCGCTTGATGACAACATCTAAGTAAGCCTGGGCGGTAGTGATGGACCTAAAGCGAGGGCGCTCGGATGGGGGAAGGGCATTACTAATGGCAAGCTGAGCGACAGCGTCTCGAGAAAGACAGACAGAGCGCGCAAGGGCAGTGGCTGCAGTAGACTCGCGCTCAGCGGGTGTGGGGTCAGCGGGCAGAACAGCGGGGGGGTCTGAGCAGGGGAGCGTACTGTCAAGGTGTGCGGAAAGCGGGTGGCCATCCTGCCGATGGCCAGTGAGGTGGCGACGGAGGTCGGCGAGCCACGCCTCGAACTCCAGAGGCTGGCCTTCAGCGTCGAAGCGAAGCTCCGCCGCCATCAGGAGCAGTGCAGGACTATACAGTGCGGTGCAGTGCGGTGCAGTGCGGTGCAGCGCGGTGCAGTGCGGTGCAGGGCGGTGAAGTGCGGTGTAGGGCGGTACCGCGCAGTGCAGTGCGGTGCAGGACGGTGCAGTGCGGTGCAGGGATGGGGAACCGTACCAGGGAGGATGCAGGGCCGGGGCAGGGACGACGAGCGGGCCGCACACAGCTCGGGCCAGAAGCAGCGGGCACCAGGCCGACGGGACGGGCGCGGGGCCGGCTGGGACGGGCGCAGGGGCCGAGCAGACGGGCGCGGAGGTCGCGAGGGTGGGCGCGGGGCCAGCTGGGACGGGCGCAAGGCAGGCGGGGGGTGGCCAGGCAGGCGCGGCGGGGCCAGGCAGGCGCGACGGGGCCAGGCTGGGCGCGACGGGGCTAGGCAGGGCGCGACGGGGCTAGGCGGTCGCGACAGGGCCGGGCAGGGCGCGACAGGGCCGAGCGGGCGCGACGGGGCCAGGCGGGCGCGACGGGGCCGGGCAGGGCGCGACGAGGCCGGGCAGGGCGCGACGGGGCCAGGCGGGCGCGACGGAGCCGGGCAGGGCGCGACGGGGCCGAGCGGGCGCGACTGAGCCAGGCAGGGCGCGACGGGGCCAAAAGGCGTGACGGGGCCCAGGAGGGGCGCGACGGGGCCCAGAAGGGGCGCGACAAGGCTAGGGGGGGCGCGACGGGGCCCAGGAGGGGCGCGACTGGGCTAGGGGGTCGCGACAGGGCCAGGAGGCGCGACGGGGCCCAGGAGGGGCGCGACGGGCCCAGTAGGGGCGGGACTGGGCTAGTGGAGCGACGGGGCCCAGGAGGGGCACGACGGGGCTAGGGGGGCGCGACGGGGCTAGGAGGCGCGACGGGGCCCAGGGGGAAGCGGCGGGGCCTAGCTAGGGTACGGGCGGAAGCGGTAGGTGGGGGATCCTAACCTACGCGTGATACCATGTTAGAATGAGAACTGAATGATTGAATAGAGAGAGAGTACAGGTGAATATACCTAAGTGTTGTACCCTCTAAGAGATGGCCCTATACAGTCTATGCAAACACAGGAGATAAACATGTTTGACACCGCAATCCCCCGAATATTACACCTGCTGAAATAGTCACTCCATGGGTGGTTAGAATGGGGGGGAGCTTATGATACGGTGCATTTTTTAGAGCACCCGTTTTTCTGACATACATTACACCTTCGTCGTTTTATTCGTTTTAAAACTGTATTGGGAAAGGTTGCTTAGTGTCGAGAAGAAAACTGAACAAGTGTTGAATAGAGAGAGAGAACAAGGGTATATACCTAAGAGTGTTGTACCCTCTAAGAGGTGACCCTATACAGTCTATACAAATATGAGTTATACATATATTTGACACACCCCCTAGACTGCATAGGGGCAAATCCTGAACAAGCAGCTCAGGGCGGCACTACTAGTCCAGCCACTGAGACAAGGGTCTAAAGACCAGTCAAAAGGAGTACAGGCAAGACAAGAACAAGACCAGGGCGGCACTACTAGTCCAGCCACTGGGAGAGGACACAAGTCCAGTCTGAGTACATATATAGATATATATATATAGGACAGTACAAAGTCAAGGTCCTAGCAAGTGAGATGCTACAGGAACTAGACCGAGCTGTACACAGTGCCGCTGATGATCTTTAGGCGCAAGCGCCTTCGTAAAGATATCAGCTGTGTTGGCACCAGAGGCCAAGTGAACTACGCGGGCCTGGCGGCGCTGCTGTAGCTCGCGCAGGAGGAAGTACCGCAGCTGGATGTGCTTCGCTCTGCCCTCAAGTCGAGGCTCCTATCACAGGAGTATCATGGCCCTGTTGTCAGCGTACAGGACCGGGGCAGAGCTAGGCCGCTCACCTAAGTCTGTGAGCAAGTAGGTCAGCCAGTGGAGCTCCTGTGCCACCATGGCACCAGCGTAGATCTCAGCCTCACAGCTAGACTGAGCAACAGACGATGAGCGAGTGGATCTCCAAGAGATAGCACCCGAACCAAGACTAAAACAGTAGCCCTGCGACGAGCTGAGCGTCTCAGAGTCGTCT